ACTCATGATTTTGGGCATCGCACGGAACATTGTTCTCGTTGGGTGCATGAAACTGACAAAAAACCTAACAATCACGCACGCATTGAGGAAGATAACCGAAGAATCTAGGAGTAACGTAATGGTGGTATCTGAAGCCTACAGATGGCACTGTGCAGGCCTGTATTCCGTTCCAGTGACTACGATATACTAACCCTTGGTAAAACGCAACGACGAACAGCCTTTAGCTAACTCGATCTTCAAGAAGGACGATTTTTATGAACCCTTTCTTGGTTTGCACCTCACCATCCGCTATGATGGGCAGGAATGGACAATTGCAATAAGCGTACGTGTCCAAAGTTAAGATCAATGCTTACCAGAGTGAAATGAAGAAAAATGCGCCCGTTTGTCATTTGGAGGAGACGCAGCCGGTGCCCTTGTTATGCATGGTGAGAAAGGACCAGAAAACATCATGAGAATGGACGCCAAAAAGGATTTGTGTGTCTGGGTCTCCTCAAACTGGTCTTTCTCACTGGACCATGAGAAGTCGGTCAAAAAGGCATTCACCATTGTACGGATGATCTGACGCACCTTCTCCCGTATTACTCGCATGGACTTCCAAAAACTCTATGGGGCCTACGTCAGACCGCTCCTGGAATACGCCAACCAAGTTGTTTACTCACGACGCACGAAAGACATCACCCTCGTTGAGCGTGTCCAGCAAGCCGCTACGAAAATGGTTGTCGGCCTCAAATACGTAGACTGTGAAGCGCGTCTCGCGATGCCTGATCTCTTTCCCCTGGAGTGTCGTCGCCTCCGAGGGGACTTAATTCTTGCTTATGCCCTGTTTGAACAAAGCTTGGCCAACAGGTTTTTCATCGTTGACCCAGAAAACACACGGCGGGGACACGGTAAGATGATTTTCAATCTCAGAGCGCGCACATTCATTAGGTGAAATTTTCACCCCCTTCGGGTAGTGGCTGCGTGGAATAACCTTCTTCCGACGATTGTCCACGCTCCTTCTAGAACCCAGTTCGAAGCACCACTTGCACTTATTTATGCGGGTCCTCATGCTGGCAAGCAAACTGCCCCACGCTGAAACCATAAACAGCAATGCTGCACTCTTTTCTCACTTGTGCCTTTCAGGTGAACGACAGTCACCGACCTACTAGAACAAAACCGACCCGGGAATCTTGGGCAAAAGCCTCGATCCTGTGTATCATTCCATGAATCCGTGAATATACATGGACTCCAAACTGACCTTGAGGGTGCCCGTTTGAATTTTTTGTCCTAGTGAAAACATGTCCCATGCAGTCGACTATCCGTTCTGAGTGCCTGAACTGGAGGACGTCAAACCAAGCATAAAGCTCGAAGTTGATGGTGTTACCTGTCAGATGTGTGTAAAACCTCTCTAACTTGGTTAAAGTACCCTCAAACACTACCCATCCACTAACTACTGTCTATCACTAATTCTAGTCGTTTTCAAGGGTTCGGTCTGATCTCCAACGCACCACGTTATGACTAATGGATCAGGTATGTGATATGTTCAATATCAAGGCAAGTTGTGCATGACCTATTGAAGTCAGAATTACAAATGTCGACACTTGAATGGAACTGATCAGTTCCTTACACGTTTTCACTGACCAGCCCGTGGATATGTGACAGCTTCAAACATGCTGAATATTCATCATTTGATGGGTAACTTCGGAAACGCGGACTTTACAAACAACGGAAGTTAACTTCGATCTGTCACTTTCAGCACCTTCAGCGTCAGGATACGCTTGCGAAAGACACCTCGTTGATAAAAAGTTTGGTAGCCGGTTAGAATTATAAAATGAGCGGAATAATTTTCTTCGTTTGAACCTGGAAAAGCGCCCAGTGATTACCGAAACATTAGTGCTTCATTTCTACATGTGGGTTGGCAGATCGATCTGCCAACCCTAAAGACAACTGGTGGAAACACGAAAGGGAAATGTTTGGAGCAAGGACATATAACTTCGTAGAAGAAGACTTTTCCCGTTGCGAGTTTTAAGGGCGTAGAACAGCCTACCACGGTGATGTCCCGGACCGTTTTGCTGTCAACCAATGGACTCAATCTTTAGAGCAAGACAAATAACCATTGTTGATTATTTAGAGTAGCGTTGCGTCCCACAACCTCTCGGAGAGTAAATGTAATGATCTGTAAATCCCCTGACGGAGCAGAGCGCAGCTTGACTTTCGGGATATTTTCTGTGTTCTGTCAACCTGCGAAGAACAAGACCGGAGAACTTTGGGTGCCACAACTACTAGGTGAATGTCACAATGGTTTTTACAGTATTCACACAGAACTTTCAGTCAGCTGCATATCATAACCCATTTGCTGGCTCGAAAAATATTGCGACACAACTCCGGCGCGTGAGTCGCAAATCACAGGGCAGCAAGCAGGTGTTCACTTGGGTAGGAGATGAATTGATCACATTGCGCCATTTCGAATGCCTGAACAGCACCATAAATACCGTCAGCCAAAAATTGCGGTTTTTCTTGATTTCTTAGATGGCTGCTTAGATGGAGAGTTCCTGCACGAGATGGCTTAGTGGTTGGAGCGCGAATTTACTAACCGAAAGGTCTGTGGTTCGAGCCTGACCACTGCCTCTCGGCTTCCCCTGTCTTGGCTTGGGCAACCTGGCAGTATCCCAGCCCTCGTGCTTCCTTCGGGTGGCATGGCAGCTAGGCCCCGGAAGAGTGTTACAGCTGACTGGTTTTTATATTTTTACTAACCGGAAGGTCCATGGTTCGAACCTGACCTCTGACCCTCGACCCTTCCTTTCTAGGGTTGAGAAACCTGACGGCATCCCAGCCCTCGTGCTTCCTTCTGGTGGAGTGGCAGCTAGGCACAGAAAGGGTGCTACAGCTAAACGACTTCCTGTATGTCTACTTGGCCAAATAAGACTACTTTTGAAGTTTGAAAATATACTTCTTTCTCTCTGTTTCTTGAATTCTGATTTTCTGCGGACTGTCAAAACTTTTCACAACAATTTATTAGGGTTGGAAAGGCGGCCCTCTAGCTTCCTGCTGTACAACATAGACCAACTTCCAAGAATGATAGTAACTGAGTGAAGGAAGTGTGCTGACCAATCTGACAAATTACGGACACTGAATGTTTTCTTGTGTGATCTAATATAAACAGAGCACTTTCTTGCTTCTTGCTTGAGGAGTGAGTCGAAATTCGAGATGTACAAGAACGATGGCATGTGAGAAGTGTTTAAAGGAGAAGTTAATGTAAAACTGTTGGTTCGTCTACTATCGTGAGGGCCAAAAATGCGGCTGCCATTCGCGCCGGTCCTGGACGGAGGGTCCCGACCCCCAAGACAATGTTAAGAGGAAGGTTTCTGTTCGGGTGCATAGCCATCAGCCTCTGTCTAAGATTCCTGGCCCAAAAAGCGACCGGTGTACAGGTTTTCCCAGAACCAATGCTTCAACAGTCCGACTCACTTAGTTGTAAAGGACCCATCCTGATTCGAGAATGCCCGGAGTAAGCTATAGAAATCTGGTTTCTCGTTTTTCTGCGCACGGATGTGTTTTGGTTCCAATCTGATTCTTGGTAAGATTGAATCGTTTTTCGACTATAATAAATTGCTCGCGTCCTTCACAACCTTTGGATAAGCGGGTTTCTTTACGTTTCATAACTCTTTTTCTCCGCGTTCTGGACATTTGGAGCCCTAATATCTGTAAAGTCCACCTAAAAACACATCTTAGAGCCCAATCTGCTGTCAGGGTTTTGAATGTAGAACTTGGCGTAGCTCTCAAGACGTTTTGAGAATAAGTACAGTTTCGGTATGATTGAGTCGGCTATTTGGCAAGCGTGGGAACTATGAGTGTCATGTGCTATCTCATCGTTGAAACGTATTTCGTTCTAACAATCTCTTCCGGACTTTCCAAAATAGAACTGGTGGTGGAGGCGTCCCGCATAGCCAAATATTGACACTTCCGCTATAAGGGTGTGGAAATCAAAACACGACTCAGTTTGCGGACGGACCAATTGCGAGTTTGTCCAACCGCCTGTTTGTATGTTACTATTACGTAGCAAGCGAAAAGCTAGTTTTTAGCTGTACGTCTGGATAGTCTCTTTCAAGATTAAGCATTCACAAACACCCTCAAAACCGCGGAATTAACAAAGTTGTAAGGAGTTTTTATTTTACTGGTACTTGGTATTTGAATTTCTTCAGAAAAACTGGATAATATGAGAACTTACAGCATCTGGTCGCGTCGGGTGCATTAGGATCGACGTCCAGTCATTTGGGCCGCGTGAAACGTTTTATCCTTTTTGATGTGTGGACTGAATAAATTGTAATGAACAATGGTAATCAGATTGAAGGCGAGTGGGAAATTTTAATTATCTGAAACTTACGCTTCTTTCGGTTCACGATTGAGACATGAATTGAGAAGCGAAGTGGCAAATCATTATTCAGTTCAACACAATGTGTCGCAACACAGCGTCTACAAAGCCAAATTCATGCCAGAAGGGGTTTGTTCGGGGAATCCTAACTCCAGCCTTCAACCCAAAAGTTTGATCTAGAAAGCAGTCGTGAGAGGAGGTGTTTTGTTCAAGCGCGTTGCCCGGTGCAGGTGACTCAAAGGTCTAATCCGCTCGGCTATAGCAGTTTTGTCTAGTCGGAGGACATACGGAATATGGCGCAGATGTTGCACTTCTGACATTACTGCGAACACCATATGTGTTTGGACCCCCATCGGGCTATTTATAGGTTTCATCTGTCTTTTGACTGTATTGGATATTTTGCCGTCGGTTGATCGTTGGACAATCAGAATATGTGGTTTTGGGAGCCGATCTTTTCTGATCCGTCTTTCTTCTAACAATGGCAGTATCACTATTCCTCCATCTGTGAACATGCTGTTCAGTAGTAGCCAAACATTCTCGATAAGTGGAGCCTGAACAATACACCATTAAGTTAACTTGCTTCGCTTGATTCGTTTCATAGATGCTGGACCAAAAGAACATGCTACGTCTCTCGGACGTAACCGCAGGTTTACCAGATTCTTGATACGGCAATTTTTGTCCCACTCAGTTTTGTGAACTCTGATGTACTCGGATGAACACTTGGCGGAAAGTAGCACTCCGCGCCATCGGCGTCATCCACTTCAGTTATGCAGGCAGATGGAACAAGAAGAGTTACCTCCTCCGTGAGTTCGTGTGTTCGCAACTTGTAAACTACTTCCGACTGTTTATCGATAAAATTGAGTCGTATTGCAGTCATACAGGTTCAATTTTCCCCATGTAAACATTATGTTAAGCCGTTTTGCCTTATTTTTAATGGAACTTTGTCCTTTGATCGGCTCGTGGCGAGCTTCAAGCTATCACATCCAGTCCTTTCTATCCCATGTGGCCCCCGTTTATGAATTCTTTGCGCTGTTTCAGAGACATCCGTAAGGTGGATTGGGTCTTTCATTCCCGGACAAACGTTTATCGTTTTTTCACTCATGTTTTTTTCGGTTTCCTTCAGAGCAGTGCTGCTTGTGGTTTCATCTGTTATGTTGCTGCTGATCGAGGGTTTCGATTACACTGACTGGTAGTATATTCTGCTGCTTGGGTCAACAATTCAATTATGACTAGATTTCTAGACCTTGTCCGATATGACCTGTCAGACTTAGACACGTTCTGAAATAAGAATAATGCTGACAAGTTGTGAAATGGGCATAGGAAATTCTGGTCCTCGTTTTCTGGGCGTAATTTACGGATGAAGGTACAGTAGGGTTCAATCCCTTTAGAAGATAGCCTTAAAATAATTTGGGAAAGTCCTACGGAGACCTAGTGTTGAATCCTTCTATTGGCAGTCACGCAAGCAAGCATCTACCCGACCTCAGTGCATTTATCGGAAATGGAAAATATTTCCTCTCCGATCAATTTTTCGATAGGAACGGCCACGTTCCACGTCTGATGCTTAAAACCTCCCTATTCAACGAATAGTGCAATGGGACGCATTGTTTCCTGAGGGTTTACAGCATGAACTATTATAATGACTCGGTCAGGATGCCAAACAACTATCCTGAGAGACCGATTTTGTGAATTGCATCTCTGATAGTTTTTCATTCACATGGATGAACAACTTTACCTGTATGGTTTTGGGATTTTCAAAAAGGACTCACGGACTAACGTCGAATGTTTTCCAGTTGCTCATCATCGATCACCTTTCTGGGCATCCCCGAATTGAGGACCGAAGATACTGTCAATGCAGTGTTTTCCCTACTGATACCTTTTACCACTCTTTCAGTTCTACTTAACAGTTAGTTTCACTAACCAACCGCATACCGTTACAAAGAGATTGAACCTTACCACGATGCTGCTGTTTACGCGTCTCACTTGTCTGGTGATCGATAGTGAGCTCCAACAGTTTGCTACTTATGGAGTTTTCTTATTCTCAGAAGTTTCCTTCTGAATAAATTAAATGATTAGTATTTCGACTACCCTAGTTGGATCCGGTGGATATGTTTAGTGAGGGTTGAAAGTTTCTTCTGATCCCGTCTTTGGGACCTATCCTCACTTGCCTATTTCAGTGGTAAACCGTTATATGTTCACTTTAACGTCATTTTTAATTTTATTGTCGTATTTTCATTGATCTTAGATTGCTTTTGACCACCAACTATAGATTTTGCTTCGTCAGTGAGGTTCGTAGTCAGATACCGGCTTTCACCCTAGAGAAGCCACTTCTCTACGGGTGACAAACATCCACCTTTAACCACAGTGGTCTCTAATTGGGACTTGTTGAGCACGTATTCAGCTATTTGGGACGGAGTTAAGGACAGTTAGTGCGCTTAGTACATCTTCCCTCATATTAGCTCCGTGCCACCGAACTGACAGCACATATATTCGGGCAATGCAGTTTGCAATAGGGAAGGCTATGACTCGCTTTCAAAAACGTTTTTTTCTGAATGCCTCAGTGCATTGTTCTCATTCTGACCCATCTTGTTTTTATTCTGTATTGTCAGGCACATAGCTGACGAACAGTTTGGCAGCAATAATTGGCAACCACAAGACCGTGGTAAGGTAGAGGACAACCCACTTCCAGATTCATCATCCGCATTGTGTGAAAATCCTGCTAGTACGATGACTGCCACAGAATCTTCACCAGCATTTAATAAGCCGTCATCATCAGCACATCACCGAGCGTCGCCTCGGCCTCACCTTCCTCCAACACAAGGCAGTCAGGGAAGTAGCAGCACAGGAAGTGGTGCCACAGGAACGAGTATCGGCACTAACAGCGGTGGAGGTAGCGTAAGTAGCGGCAAATCTGGTCGTGGATGCTACAAAACCAGTGCAACTAGTGGCCGTGGGAATCGATGCAGCAGTAGTGCGTCCTCATCGACTGAGGAAACTGAAGCAAGAGAGCGTCGATTCGGCAGTGTGGATCTACATCCCCTCCCTCTGGTGACTCTTAATCCTGGAGGAGTGCGTCGAAGCTTGGTTTCCCCTCCCACAGGTCCTACTCAACAGCTGCACCTAGCCGCATTGCTCACGCTTCAGCAACAATTTGCTGTACGATCTGCTGCATTGGCCACCGCTGCACGTGTCACTACTGAGCGAGGTGACTCCTTACAGATGGAAGCTCACAGCAGCAGTCAACCCTCGGTGCCAACGTCAAATTCAACCTTTCCGGTGGACTCAACGGTACAGACAACGCCGGTCACCACCCAGTCTGCAGCTACCCTAACGGCGTCTTCAGATACTCGGTCGGCAGAACCGAATTGTGTTGACTCAACGATTGCTCGCCTTGCACAACAAAGCCAGTTTCATCCATTAAATTTACTTCCCCCTGTCTTTTGGCCATGTAAGTTTTACTTAAACACTGTGCAAAAAATCTAACAAAGTATGACAGTTAGTTCCCCTTGCAGACCTGCTTCACTACTGTCTCCTTTCAAGAATGAATTTCACTACTAACATCCTAGTAAAAACCAGTGCCGGGCTGGTTAGTACGAATTATTTTAGGGCCGATGATTTACTCGTGAGTAGACCCTAAGCGAAAATCTTTGTTTAATTAGACCAAACGATTTGGTTACTCACAATACTCACGTTTTATAAGTACCCTTATTAGTGGTCTGCCGAGGTTACATCCCAAGTCCAAAATGGCTGACGGTTTAATTTCGTTGATGCGATAGTCTCTGCTATGACAATGGTTCGAGACATTTTTTCTTTTGATCCACTGCAGCAAAGCCCTCGATACAAGCTATACAATGTAACCACTGGGCTCCGACTTAGTCCGGCTAATCGCCCCTCTTTACAGAACTTATCATATTGCCATTCTGCTGACCAGTGTCACCTATCCACAACCGATGACAATGGGACAACACGCGTTGCCAACTATGATGCCCCCATACTGCTACGGCTGCGGCACCATGATACTTCAATTGGACTTAGGACTACATACATACAAGACCGTGGTGTGAACAAGCCTGTTATTACGTCGTCATCGGTAGCCGCAGTCACTCATTATCTGCCGGTTCGGCCGGCATAATTATTCCCCATATCAATAGTGCAATTCTTCAGCCTATTCTAGACTCCTTGGGCAAAGTATGGCGTCTTGTTGGTTCTTTAAGCTTCATTAGCTAACTGGTCGCGGAGTCTGGAATCGCAGCAGCGGATTTTCAAACTGAAGCGCAAATCCACATGTGTTATATCTTGGATTGCACTGGTATAAGGGAGTTTGGGATTTTAGACAGTGAGTTGCAGATGGTAACATCTAAAGCGGAACATGGGGGAGGGAGTGCTGTTATGGTCCTTAAAACAAATGCGAGTTGGTCAATTCAGATCAAAATATTTGAACACGTTCGCTCTTGACCACCGGATGCAGCGCTTTACTCGAGTTGTATGTGGGCTAAGCGCAGCACAACGTATGCCTTCGGACCATTTTTCACCTGCCAACTTCTCTGGAAATGTTTCTTCTTTGAGCGCAGATCCTCTATGCGCACATCTATCGTTAAACTACTTACAATGTGGTACGGCTTTTTCCAAAGTTGATGCAGTAAGCGTAGTGGGCCTAATATAAGTAGTAAGTAAGGTAGTTAGATAAAGATCTTAAAGCCTGATTAAAATCAACTTCACCAAAAGAACCGGATTTTTGCTCCTAAAAAGCGTTTCAAGTAAAAAGAGGATGCTAGAGTGAGAATGGTCTACTAAGACATCACATGACCGATTCCACTTTACGAGTCACAATAGGAGCAAAACACACCGAAGCAGCCCAAAGTGATATCAGGATGGGAAGGAGGATAACTCATCTGTATTGTAAATGATGGCGATAAGGTTGTGAGCGGATTTTCCTTGGAAGTCATGATCATCATTGCCAGCTGTAATAACCGCTTGTGGTACAGTGGTTGTAGTTGCCACAGTTTCGTTCACCGATGAATCGGGAAGGTGGGGGAGGTGGCTGCGGATTGGGGACGGGAGCTGATAAATTAGTGCGGAAATACGGCACTGTATGTGGACTGTATAGTGGCTGAATGTTATCGGAACTGGGTTCCGGTTTCTAAATAGAACTTTCCTGCTGGCATTTTAACAGCTCACGTCACTGTGTGTTGTCTTACGTCGTGTATGAAGCCACCTCCCCAGCTCCGATACAGAAAAGATCGACTTATATCAACTCATCCTCCAACCTATGTTAGAGTGATGCATTCCACCACACCAGTCTTAATCTGCGGCGAGAAAACTTTGACTCATGACGAATTGCTTTGATTGCACTCACAACTCATATTACTGTGTCCGAGTGAATTGTCGACATGGTTAGAGGGCGAATTTACTGACCAGCAGGTTAGTGGTTCGAACTCGACCTCTGCCTCTCGACTTCCTCTATCGAGGCTTGGGCAGCCTGACATTATCCAGGCCCTCGTGCTTCCTTCGGGTGGCATGACACCTAGGCATCGAAGGGGTGTTACAGCTGAACGAGTGATTGATTGAATAACCTCTATACCGAAGCAGAGTTGAGCATTCCCAGCAAACTGACTCCCATGTATCGCTTTTGTTTCTTTGATATTTTTTCGAAGGTAGTGTTTCTTTCTTGACCAAATCACTGATTAACGTGGTGTGCAAGATTGTAAGCATTATATCCCACTGGTATAATTTGAGTCCGGGAGGCCCATAAACCATCACACTATAGTATGGTTCAGTCTCCCACGGTACGAAAAGTTGGTTGAATAAGCCATCACCTTATGCCTATGTAAACGTGGCGATCTGATCTCAGGTGTGGACTGTAAGCCGACCAATATTCTGACACATTGATCACATTTTCAACACCAAGCGAAAAAATGTCTTTCCAATATGCCCTGTAGGCGTAGGGTAAAACGATGGAGGGCAAAACTCGCTTGAGACGCCAACAAGATATCTCCAACTGTGTGTCGGCCAGGCAACAATATTCGGTCCCTCTGGCAATGTGTTGGAATATTGGTAGCTCGGGTGTATTGGTTGGTAATTGATCAGGTGGCTGTTGATGTTGGTGCACAACCAACAGCGCACTGAAGATGTCTCCTCGAATGGTGACGAAACGTTTGCAAACCAACTGCCAAGCTCGGCGAACAGATCAACAGCCACCTGATCAATTACCAATTCGGTCCCTCTGTCAAATCTTATGCACATTGTATCCACAAGTTCATCTTACCAAAACAAACTACCTGAAGTGTACCGTTTTCCACCAATCTGGATAAAGATTGTTACGAGGATTTTATGCCAGGTGATTCCTGGATTAGCAGAAATAACTTATTTTTCCAAATTCGGTTGAACCGTGCTCCCCATTACGGCCGTTTTCTCATAGCGGCTACACCCAACCCGGATGCTGGTAAACTGTTAGGTCTAGCCAAACGAATATCTGTACGTCACTCTGTTACTCTGAACTACACAGGGGAAATGATTTATACATTGCTTGGTTACAATGTCCTGACTTTTTACGTTTTCTCGCAAGCTGATTTGCACTTCGTTAAACGCCAAGTACCGAAATCTGTTCCGGGCACTTGCCTCTAAACTGATTCACCATATCCTCCTTTCTCGCTAACCCTCACCTAAGGTCTGGTGTGTCCCGTACATGCCGGTGTGCTATTGCACTCTTCTGGATTACTACTGAATGAACTGGATAAAGGTAAGTTACTTATTTTCACACGAAATATTTGCTTCCTGCGCGCCAATAAACAGGATCAAGTCCGTTGTCTCCTTTCCGAAGCCTTGTTTGTCGTGCGAATTATTTTCACACTTACAGCAAAGGACCGGCATGGTTCATCTGGTCTAGAAACGTCGGCGGCGGATCACACTGCGCAACCAACCAAGTCCCAAAGTGATGCCACCGGTTACGACGTGGTGCCATCGTTGTGGATGGGGTCCGCTTCATCTGGTGGTCTGACAACCAGCACTCCCCGAATAGGACCGTACGAATTGGGCCCGACTTTGGGTCGCGGAAATTTCGCTGTTGTTAAATTAGCCAGGCATATCGAAACCAAAGTCAAGGTCAGTCAAACGGTCACGTGCTCTTATTGTTGGCATTTATCTGTTGTTCGAGAAAATCACACCCAACCATACTGATGACTTCTAAGTGAGACCATTTTTCTTGTTTTATGGTGATAACACCATAAAGTCCGTCTATCCGAAACTAGGTAACCTATCAAGCCCTCTCTATCCGGATGAAAATACTGTCTTCAGTTACATCGCCGAGATTTATACAGCCAATCAGATGCTATTCATCAGGACTGCACACAAAGCCTTTGAGGTGAAGTTTATGTGTAGGGCATCATACTCTGCACGGCAGCCCACTATCTGCCCCCAGAAGCCTTTTCACCTGGGTTGACACTATTTAAGGCCAGATAAGTGTAACGCCCTTTGTCCATCATCGAGCCATTCTTCCGACTCTGGCCTTTCATGTGTCAATGTTCATAGGAGGACACGACTCGCTCTGCGTCCGAGCTCTTACCCTCAGTGCGTAACTCTTCCCTTCTATTTCACGTCAGTCTTGTAGAGCCATATTCTCGTCAACAATTCAGATGGATTCATCGACAAGAAGTCGATTTGATCCAAAAGTCGACTTTTCTGCAAAGGTTTGCTCCTTCTGTCTTGTTGAAAACATTCAGACCGAGGAATACTCCACTGCACTACCTACTGCTATTTGTGTTTCAACGCGACTAATTTGTCTCATAAACCTTTTCTGTTCAAATTTGAAGGTTGCAATCAAAATAATGAACAAGGAACTCATTGGCTCGGTCAATCTAAACAAAGTTTCCCGTGAACTAGAAGCGATGAAACGCTGCCAACATCCTCATATCATTCGGCTCTACCACGTGATGGAGAGCGAATCGAATATTTTCATGGTAACCGAGTATGCCAGCCGGGGTGAGGTTTTCGGTGAGTAGCTTCTTTTATCAACAAGAGTCTTTGCGCATCGAAATTTTTTACTTTCCCGCCTATCTATGTATCAAAGTCGTAAAATAATTTGGAAACTAAGGTAGGACATCAACAATGTGTTGCGCTGGTTGTGCCATCTTTGCCTTTTAGCCATGTTTACGGTAGTGGTTGGTTTTTGTCGCATGGTGTTTGGAATCTAAGAATTATGTGATTGGTTTCCGAATGTCCTAGACATGCGAGGCTTTTCGCCAGCCGTTGGTGTAGAGAAGACCGATCACATGACCATTTGACGACCGCTCACTAAAGGTTAACCTCAGAACCATGTGTCCGTTCCCTGTACTCAGCCTTGCTTGTAGATTTGATGCGGAAAGTCGTCATGACCAACTATTGGTGGGGGTCTCGCGACTTGACTTTTAATCGATCCTCATTATTTGGTTACAAAGTTTGTAATTCTACACAGTCGCAAGGCGGTCGCCACTAAAAGCATCGATCATTTGAAGACTTTAGTATGTCACTTTTTCGGAGCATTGCAAACTCAAATAAAGTCAACCGCATCACAAAACCAGTCTTATCTACCTCTGTTCCCCATCGCTACTTACTGAGTGGGTGAACGTTTTACAATAAATTGAAAATTAAGACTAATCGAAACACCACATTCGATTCATGTCTTCCTCCAACACTGAATGCTCAGATCACATAAGCAAGTCCCAGTTGTTCAATGAGAAAGAGGCACGTGAACTCTTCTGGCAGATCGTCTGTGCAATCGACTTTTGTCACAACTCTGGTGTTGTCCATCGAGACCTGAAGGCAGAGAACCTCTTACTCGACTCCGAGCTGAAAATCAAAGTCGCTGGTGAGTTTCAGCCTCAACGATTGCTTGGTTCTATTCCCAATGCTGATCTCATTGCAAGCGCCGTTAAATTTCATCTTCCTCTCTATTCAAAAATCACGCGCAAACAAGCCGCAAAGTGATATTCTAAAGCACCCAGAACGCTATCTATAATAGAGTCTGATAGCTAGTTTGGAAGGCCGTGCTGCGTAGGACTCAGTTATCAGCTTAGCCTTTGAGCATATAACTGACCGACCCAAAGTACATGTTCGGTCTCCTAGACCGACAGCAGCTACGAGATGTATGTCACAATCGATGTACTCTCTCAATGCATCTTGTAACGACTGAGACACATGCTCACTAAAGGTTTCAAGTACTCCTAAGTTTAGTTATTTATGCTTCCAAAGCTAAGAGAATGTAATCAGTTAGCTTACTAGGAAAATAGGTGCGCACCAAATAGCTATTTTGCCCCCTCTAATCCGGGGAGTAACAAAGTACAGAAATACTGTGGTGTCCTTTGAAATCGATCAAGAAGAATGTTCCGGTTTGCTCGTGTACCACATTTTTTTAAACAAGCAATCTTGGACACCGTTACGAATCCTACATCGACTGCTCGAATTCACCTGATTGTGAGTGGTTCGGTTGCTTGTTAGACTACCATTGTTCGCAGTGCTCCGACTGTTTGCCTCCATTGCGGACTAAAACAAATGAATCTTGCTGACTGGATGGTCTTGGATTACGCTGACTATCAATTGCACACTGCGAAATGCTGAAATGGCTCGTTAGCAGGCTTTGAACCGGTTTCGGACAGTTATCGCTTGATCATGTGCTCTGTGGTGTGTTGCGCGGGCTCTACCTCGCATTCTACCCCTTTTAGATACCCTGTGCAAATCTGTTTAGTTCTGTTTTCCAATCCATCTACCAGACAAATCACCAAGTATTCAGCCTTGTAAGATTACTACACAGTTTCTGTGCCTCTGTTACCATTCATCTAACTGAATTTTTTTAGTGCGCTGACTGAATGGTCTTGGATTACGCTGACTATCAATTGCACACTGCGAAATGCTGAAATGGCTCGTTAGCAGGCTTTGAACCGGTTTCGGACAGTTGTCGCCTGATCATGTTGCTCTGTGGTGTGTTGCGTGGGCTCTACCTTGCATTCTACCCCCTTCATATACCCTGTGCAAATCTGTTTAGTTCTGTTTTCCAATCCATCTACCAGACAAATCACCAAGTATTCAGCCTTGTAAGATTACTACACAGTTTCTGTGCCTCTGTTACCATTCATCTAACTGAATTTTTTTAGTGCATGAACGAATCGGAAGTATTCCGGACTGACTACTCATATCTGTGTTCGATTCCTAAATGTTTACCACGTTTACGTGCTTTGTCAACAAACCAGATTCAAATCAACCTATTCCTTCGGAACCTCACCGAGTGTGATGGGTCAAAAAATCTCTCCAGCTGCCGAAAATCGGCAGAACCTTCTGAAATTCTGTCCGAATGTATCGGTCAGTGAAGTCTTTTGGGTAAGGCCTTTCATCACAGGACCTTGTCTATACAGCTGCTGTCCCAGAGGGAGCCGTCCTAAAGAACAGACCAAAGTGTTCATCGGATCAGCATCAAAGGTAGCACCATGGTCAGTAGAGCTCGATGTGGCTCAGTGGTTAAGGCGCGGACTTACTGATCGAAAGGTCC